AAAAAAATACAGACAGACAGACAGAAAAGACAAAGCCCCCGAGTGTTCAGAGAATTCAGTTTATATGTCATTCTTAGTTTCTATAATCACAGTTTACGTCGTTTCCCTGTTTTCCTTTGAAGGTATGGGTATATAGCGTGAAAGCTAAGGGCATGTAGTGTGAAAGCATGGGTATGTAGCGAGGAGGCCGGCTGGCAATCCTCAGCGTTTGGTCCATGGGTTCTCCGTGGTTTGGGTCCCTGGGGAAGGTTTATTTTGTGTGGGGTACCACTCGAAGACTCTTTTCCCATCATGGCGTGGGTCAATGGTTCATTAATAATCCCAGCAGGGTCTTCTTTTGTTCCCTGGTTTCTCGTGGTCTGGCACATTGCAGGCTCTGAATACCGCTTGATTTAACATTTAATTCTTGCGGCTTCCTCCCTATATTAACAAGAAAGCAGTGATTACGACGGCCGGACTGATGACAGAGCTGAAAATTGAAAACATTGTCTAGAATGAACATCACTCCGTTATGTTATCTGCACCAATAGAAAGACCTTCCTTCCACTGATGTGATCGTCCCCTTCTCTTTCTCATAAATACCCTTCGCCTCTGTCTCCTGACCGGGACATCATTTTGACTTCTGCCTGAATTAATGATTCCAGAAGAGCTAGTCTTATTGATCTCAGGTAAACACTCGTTTGCCTCTCGCTTTGACAGGGCTTTTTATTTTCGGGTTAACACCCTTCTGTCTTATCGTCAGCACTTAATACAGAGCCCCGCATGAGACAACGGGGAGCGCTCGGTTGGGGCATGGCGGCCAGATCCGGGCTCCCCAACTTTGTCATCTTGACGTTACCTCCACCCAGCTGGGAGAACGTGGCCAGTCTCATGAGCCCCCTGTCTCAGTCAGCGCGAGGCCACCACCGCAGACTGCAGGGCCGAAAACAACGGGAACGTATTTTCTCATAGTCCCGGACTTGTCTGCAAGTCCTGGCTCAAGGTGCTGGCCAATTCAGTCCCCGATCAGGACCCTTCCTGGCACGCAGGTGTCTACCTTCTCGCCGTGTTCACACACAGCCTTCCCTCTGTGCTGGTGCAGGTAGAGAGAGATCATTCTTGGGTTTCCTCTTCCTCTTATAAGGACACCAGTCCCACGGGATTTATGACCCAGCCCCTATGACCTTATCCCCAATTACATCCCCAAAGTCCCATCTCCAAATAGTCACACTGGGCTTAGAGCTTCAACTTATGAATGTTAGGGGGACACATTTCAATCCCCATGGCTCAGTGCTCTCTTCTGTACAACTGGGAAGATCTTCTTCCCAGTATGGGGGCCTCAAGGAACATCAAGGGAGAAATAAAAGGCATGACCGAGTCTGACCAAGACAGGCGCCATCATCTCCAAGAGTGTCTGACACCGTTTGGACCTTCAGGGCCACCGTACACCCCATGACCTCAGAAACATCCATGCAAACTTCACACATTCGCCGGCTTCTTTAACACCCTTTCCATAAACCTTGGTGCCCTGAAGCCCCAGTTAAACCTTCTCCCTCCTTCCAGCCCCATCCAAGGGTGAAATTACAGCCTCACCTTCTGCTGCAAGCTCTCATAGAGCTGGGTGAGTTCTGTCAGCTTCCTTTCCAACTTCGAAGCCCGGGCCCTCAGCTCTTCTGCAAGCTCCGTCTTTGCTCCTTCCTTCAGTTCCCCCCAGTCCTTCCGGAGGGTGTTCAAGTCCATGCCGAGACTGAAGCCAAACATCGCACTATTCAACAAGCGAGAACTTTTGGTCATCACCAGTACTGTACCCCCAAAGGCCTTTTGCACCTGCCTGCTCTTTCGGGCTGAGACTTGGCCAGTGGTCAGGAGACGCTTGGCAGCAGTGGCCAGGTGTGGGTGGGCTCTGGCTATCTGAAAGGCCCTCAAGTTCTTCTTGATATCCTCGATGTTTCTTTCATAGTCATAAAGAGACTTCCCCATCATCAGGAGATCAGATACCTTCTTTATATCCTCCTTGATGTTTTGGTCACAAGTGGACTCTTGGCTGCTGACCTGAGCTTGGACTTCTCTATTGTGAATGTATTTCACAATGCTGGTTACGGTGCTGGTGACCCCAGCTACTGTCCCCAAACCACTACCAACAGCAGAAAAAATCAGGCTTCCTCCTGCTGTTGCTGGAGCGAGGGCCAAACCCAGGATGCTCATTGCTCCTGAGACGACAGAGATGGAGTTGGTCACCACATTGGTCTTGGTGAATGTAGTGTGGATTTTGTCGATGTGGTCCGCAAGGGCACGGTATTTTCTTATGGCCCTTTCGAGTTCCCCTTTAAAGTAGGGAAACTCTTCCAAAAATATTTTTTCTTCAGCCGTCAGATCTCTGCCTTGTTGCTCCACATCCTCACGCAGAGCAATGTCATCCTCGTCCCTGTGGATGAGTGAAATAAAGATTTTTGCTTCTATCTCCCAGATGGGAAAGCCAAACTCTGAGGCTCGCGTGGTTCCCAGATGTTCGTGCCCCTCCTGACTTTGAACCTCTCTGCATCTCCCTAACTCTTCCAACACCTCTGGCCTGGCCCTGGAAAGTCCCAGAGAGTTGTTGGGAACTGCTGGTTCCATGAAGAGAAGAAACATGGAGAAGAAGCAGCATTTGGGGGGACCCAGGGAAGAACTGCAGCCTTGGCCAAAGAGGTGGAGAAGGTAGATTAATCCTGAGGGACATTTTCAGCCTTGTTCAGAGAGACTATGAAACTCTCACTGGGAAGAGGCGATGGGGAAATGCTAAGATCCGAGTCGAGATAAGAGACTGGGACTAAGGGAGGGAGAGGTCTGGGAAAAGTAGGAGAAAGAAGAAACCAGGTATGGGGCTGGAGTTCTGTATACCGGAGGTGAGCCGGAGGGAGGAGGCTCCGTGTTGTAATGTGCATCCTTCACTTCGATGACCTGGAGTTTGGCTACTACCGTGTGTCTTTGCTTCTATCGGGAGTTACGTCGAGAGGGCCAAAGTAATGATCACTAATGTTCTGAACGTTCTCCTTGGCACTTGGCCAGCTTTATTGACCCCCTCAAACAGATAGGATTGGTCCTTCCTGGAGGAAGTTAAGAATAAAGGGGTCCACGTCCCTCCTTCCCCAATATCTCATAGTATAAAATATCAAGGGATCTTTGCCAGCTCAGCTGGCCGAGTGTATCCTTCACGGGAGAGCAGTATCGGAGGAAGAGCAGAGCCTACTCCTTCAGGTACTTTCCTCATGCCGAATGTCATCGGTCCCTTTCCTTCAGGGTGAAATCAGGAGGCTTGGTGATGACACAGACTCTCTGGCTCGGAGGAGAGGATCAGAGCTGGAAGGGACCCTGGAGAGGGCCTGAGCTGCCTCCTTTACCTGTCAGTGGGAGGGACGGAAGCCCAGAGAGGAAAGAGGACTTGCCCAAAGGACCACACGCGGTAGATGGAGCTTGGAATGGGATGCTGAGCTCCGAGACCATCAGTGTCTCCAGGTATCCCTCTCATCAGTCAGTTGCCAGGGGCTTGCAGTGGGGAAAGGGAGGGATGAAGGTGAGAAGAGTGACCCTGCTGAGGAACCCCAAACTTTACAGACGCCACCACCACCCAGCCCACCCTCACCCCACTGTTTGCTCAGGTTTGTAGTGACAAAGAGCAAAAATAGATACGTTGCTGCACATGTTGACAACATCGCTTTGCGTTAACTCTCAAGTTTTATTTTTAATACTGTTGATTGCTAACGGAAGCTTGGCTTCTTATGTTTTTTAACTAAACCAAATGTCTCGAATATGGACACTTTGGCCTCAACACATCCTGTATGAGGCAGCCATGCCTACTGACATAGTGTCAGATTGCAGTCTGGTTCTATGAGGTACAACACACTTGGTTTTACCTAACTCAGCGAACATCCGTTGATTGTCCACATTGTGCTGGGGGCTGGCGATTCGGCGTCTGCTGACTAACAGGTAACTGGGATTAACTTCATCCACACAGTAGCACCACAGGGCTTTCTTGGCGATATGTGAGCCGAACACACTGAGCTCCTGTTTCACGGGCCTCGTAGAGGTGAGGTCCCCGAGGGCGACAATTTATGCCCTTGGAGTCCCATTGCCCAATGTCATATACCTGACTAGATTTTGACTTGCTCTCCAAAATATTTAGTTTACCCTGTGGAATGTTTTTTTCCTAGGAGACTATATCTTCGTACGTGTGGTGGAGGCCGGTGGGAAGACAGGTCCCATGTTATGGTCGTAGGACCCATTTTTCATATATCAGCAGAAGTGGCCCGTTCCTTCAAGGACAGAACGGTCTGGGTTACCTTTGCAAATCAGCACCAGCCTGGTCGTCCAGCAGGCTCTGCAGCACCAGGGACGTGCTCATCTTGTCCGTCAGAGAATTACAGGTGTCCTCAGGAGTCAAGTGATTTTCTGGTTGGAAACATGGAAAACAAGGTTTCTGCAGGTGCCGCGAAACCTCATGAAATTCAAGTGTGAAGGGATTTTTGATTATGTGAAATCAAGTTAATAATGAAACGTTTATGTGCTAAGTATTTGCAAACTTTGGGTTTTACATTTTATATTGAGGTATAGCTGATAAATGATAAGGATGCAAATCGAAGCCCTTAGCTCAATAACTGTTGACACATATATACACCCGAGTACTCACCACGCAGATCATGATATAGGACAGAAGTTTTCTTGGAAACACCTCCAGTCAATACTCACCCCTCCCCAGAGGTAACCACTATTCTGAGTTCTGTAACCACTGCTTAGTTTGCTTTTTCTTGAACTTCATATAAATAGAGTCATTTGCTTGGCTTCTTTCACTCAATATGATGTCTGTGAAATTCACTCACATTGTTGTGAGTGCCGGTTGTTTTTAAAACGGCTGCTATGCAGTATTCTATTATATATATGCTACAATTTGTTTATCTATCTATTCTATCAGTTGATATATTTGGGTTGTTTCCAACCATTGGTTATTATGAACAAATTGATTATAATGATTAAAAGATCATCTTTGCAGGGGAAGGCAACAGTTTATAGGTCCCTTTTGTATAAATTATATTCCCAGGGACAAAATAATATTATGGGAACTGCAAAAGGCCCTGTCTGACCATACAAGTGGTACCCAAAATCCATCCCAGAATCTACTCAGTGATGAAACCTGGGGGCCAGGGATGGGGGAAGTGCTGTGTCTATCTGGAGACAAGAACACTTTAATTGATTGATTGATTGATTGTCATCCATTTATAAAGCTATTTGTCCATAGCTATCTCCATCCACTAGTGAGTGGGATTTTCCAAATAAGCACTAAGGTACCATATGGGCGAGCAGCGGCCCAGATCTAACTTACATGTTAAAATAATCTCTTAGGCTGGAGAACAGACTCCAGGTTTGCAAGCAAAGAAATAGGGAGACCAGTTGGGGACTATTGCAGTAGTCGAAGCAAGAGGTGACAGCCGCTTGAATCAGGTTGGTAGAAATTATAAGAATGATTGGATTTCAAGAAATCCATAGGATTTTTCAGTGGATGTGGGAGAACAGAGTCAATGACTCAAGTTTGGGGTCCTGAAGGACTGTTATGGTGAAGATTCCATCTACTGAGATGGGAAAGGTAGGAGGTTTTCTGGGCACGTAACAGAGCTCAGTTGGGGCGGGTGTGGTTAAGTTTGAGATACAGTTAGATATCCAAGTGATGTTGAACAGGCAGTGGATGGATGTCTTGTTCTGGGCGGGAGATTAAATTTGGGAGCTATCGGTGTAGAAAATCGTTAAAGCCACAACATTGCATGTGAACCATAGGGAGACAGAAATAATAAAGGCCAAGAGCAGTCCGAGCCCGAGCCCTGGAGAAAGCTAACGTTTAAGCCAGGAATAAGGGGAGACAGCAAGAGACGGAGAAGGAGCAGTTGGTGAGGGACGGGAGAACCAGCAGTGGCATTCTAGAATCCACGTGCACTGTTTGTGTGTGCTGGCCCTGTCTTGGCGTATGCTTGTACTTTTAAACGTTCCGAGTCACTCTGCTTTCCATCGTTCTCTTACAAAGACATCAGCTGAATTCTGCTTTACTCTTTCATGAAGGTGGCCGGGATGGAGGAAAGCTTACCTTGGCATCTTCTCTGAGATGCCCCTGTTGTTGCCTTGTTCAGAGGGGTGTCTTTCATCTTTCCTGTATTCAGAGTGACAGGGTGTCTGGCTGAGGAGAGCTGTTTTGCCTTGCTGGAGGAGAACAATGACCTTAGAATTCGGTTAGAGACAGTACGGGAAAGCAGAGTGGAAGCTTCTCTGTCACTTACCGGTTCTGTGATGTTACGAAAATTCACTCGCTGCTCTCAGATTCCCTTTCCTCACCTGTGAAATAGTGAGAAAAATGCCTGTCTCAGTAAAGATGATGGAATAGTAGTTGCATCTATGAAAGAATAACACGTGGGGTCCTGGTGATGGAGGGGTCCTGTATCTTAATTGTGGTGGTGACCATGCTGATCTGTGTGTGTGAAAAATTGCTTAGAACTAAGCGCGCGCGCGCACACACACACACACACACGCACCCCCCAAATGAGTGCAAGTAAAGCTGGTGACATCTGAGCAAGGTCGGTGGTCTGGGTCCATGTCGTTTCCTGGCTGTGCTGTTTAATACCACGGGTTTGTAAAAATGTTACTGGTGGAGAAACTGGGTAAACAGGATCCTTGAGATCTCTCCGTGTATTTCTTACGACTGGGTGTGAATCTATAATTATCTCAAAATTAAAACTTTAAAAAAACAATGGCACACAACTCTTCGAATGGCCGAAATCTGGAACACTGACAAAACCAACGGCTGGCGAAGATGTGGAGCCACAGGAACTCTCATCCGTTACTGGTGGGAATGAAAAACGGCACAGCCACTTCGAAGATCAGTTGATCAGTTTCTTATAAAACTAAACATCCTCTGGCCATAGAAGCCAGCAATCACGCTCCTTTGTATTTACCCAAAGGAGTTGAACACTTACGTCCACACAAAAACCTGCACGGGCTGTTTATAGCAGCTGTATTCATAATTGTCAATACTTGGAAGCCATCAAAAGGTCCTTCAGTAGGTGAATGGATAGATAAACGTGGTCCGTCCAGACAACGGAATATTATTCAGCGCAAAAAGGAAATGAGCCATCAAGCCATGAAAAGACAAGGGGGAACCTTAAACACATATCACTAAGTGAAAGAAGCCAGTCTGAAAAGGCTACATACCGTGCGGTTCCAACTCTATGACATTCTGGAAAAAGCAAAACTTTGCAGACAGTAGAAAGATCAGGGGTCGCCAGGGCTGGAGGGGAGGGAGGGATGAAGAAGTGGAGCAGAGAGGACTTTTAGAGCATGGAGACTACTCTATTGGTGGATAGAAGCGTCATTAAACATTTGTCCAAACGCATAAAGTGTGCTACACCAAGAGCGAACCCTAATCCAAGCTATGGACTTTGGGTGATAATGATGCATCAACATAGTTCAGGAGGGGGTGTTGATAATAAGGGAGGATGTGTGTGGGGTGGGGGGTAGGGGGGTGTGAAATCTCTGTACATCTCTGCACCTTCCCCTCAATTTTGCTGCGAACCTAAAAGGACTCTAAAAAAATAAAGTCTATTTAAAAATAATAATAAATAAAACCAGCCATTGCATGCAGATACCAAGAAAGGTAGCACTGTAGCATTATTCATAGGTTGTTTTTTTTTTTTTTTTAAAGTCTAAAAGCTACCCGAATTTTGTTTAAAGTAGACTGGCTAAATAAATTAAGATTTCTCTAGCAATGAAAGTATGCAGCTGTTAAGCCAAATGAGGCAAATCTATACGAACAGACGTGGAAGGATCTCCAGCACACGCTGGTAAATGCAAAGGCAGGGTACAAAGGCTGCACAGAGGCTTCCACGTGTATGCAAAAAAGATGCCTGTGTTTGTGTAGAGAAGAAACTAGTTAATGCTGATTGTTAAGGGGCAGGGATGACAGGAAAGGTTCCTTTTCACCGTCTACCCTTTCATTCTGTTTGTATCAATGATTTTTGCCATGTGCCTACCTGTGAGACCAAAATATTTAAAGACTGTTTCTCTCTAGTAATGGGTTGAACAATGTGCACCGCCCCTTCCCCCCAAGTTCATGTCCACTTAGAACCTCAGAATGTGACCTTATTGGAAATGAGTCTTTGCCGATGTCATTAGTTAAGGAGCTTGAGATGAAATTATCCTTGGTTGAGAGGGAGCCCCAAATCCAATGACTGGTGCCTTATAAGAAGAGGAGAGGACACAGAGAGACACAGAAAAGAAGGTGATGTGGTGACAGAGAAGCAGAGATTGAAGTTAGGCTGTCACAGGGCGCGGATTCCCCAGGGCCACCAGAAGCCGCAAGACGCAAAGAATGACCGATTCTTCCCCAGAGCCTTCAGCGGCAGCTCGGGGCTGCCATCTCGGCTCTGGGATGTCTGGCCTCCGGGACTGGGAGAGAATATGTTTCTGTGGCTTTCGTCCACCCAGTTTGTGGCACTTCGCTGGTGGCGGCCCTAGGAAAGGGTACGTCCCCTTTCATCTCCTCCTCTGTGTTTGGCACTTGGTCCCAGAGCTTAGGGCAGAAACAGTATTTCCTAAATATCCCTTCTCTCAAGATCCTCTTCCTTCCCCGTTCCCTCTCCCCATTCTACTTAAAAACAAAAACATAACATATTTCGAAGGGACGGAAATTGTAACTCTTTTTTCTAATTATTTCGTTAAATACAGATTTACTATAGAAAATTTAGAAATAAAGAGTAAAATTCCTCTGTACTCTCACCACACAGAAATGAACAGTCAATATTTTATTTTACAAGCAAAAAAATGTAGACTCAGGCTGTTCATAGAGTTTTGTGTGAATTTTTGTCACTTAACATAGCAGATCCTCATATTCTATAATAGTTTCAAACAGATATTTAAAGCTATGTAATGGATGTGTTATTACGTATTTTCTAATTCCCCTGTTGCCGAATCATTGGATTGCTTTCACTTTTGGTTTTTGCTTTTTGTTGTGTTTTTTTTTTTTGTAAATACTTTTTGTTTTATAAAGAATTTTTGATCATTATAGAAATGTTCATCCACATGTTTGGTTATTTCTATGGGATAGTCTTTGGGGTTGAATTAATGCATCAAAGAAAAATAACGTTTTTCCTCTCTGATATATAAAGCTAGGTTTGAGAGATGTGGCTGCAAGGTGCCCATGGTCTGTAAAATGACTCATCTTTTTGTGTTCACTTGTGCCAGACATGCCTCTAACTATTTTATATGTCTGCAGCCCTCTCAATGACCCCCTGAGATAGATGCTAATATTATCCTTATTTTACAGATGAGGAAACTGAGGCACCAGGAGGTCAGTATCATGCAATTGGTTAAACGGAAGAGCCCAACGTGATTCCAGCTAGGACAGCAATATGAAACCAGAACAGCGGCTCTCGACAAAGGGTGAGTTTTCCCTCCAGGGCGTACTGATAATGTCTGTAGACACTGAGCGGGGAGGGGCGTGGAGCGCGCACTGCTACTAGCTTCTAGTGGGTGGAGGCCAGCGATGCTGCTAAGTGACACACAGGACAGTCCCCACGACGCGTGATCCGGTCCCAAACGTCAGTGGTACTGAGGCTGAAACACCCTGGTCTAGAGCCCCTTTCTTTACCAGCACCCTGGGATGCTCCCCCGCATTTTTCATATTAGTCCTTAGTCCTATCAGAGGAAGGGCAAAGGTGACGGCCCAAAGCTCTTTGATCCTATCGTCCCATCCCCCGGACCTGGACCTTGGTGGACCGAGAGGCCGGCTATGCTGGGATGAAGGGGCGAGGATTAGCGACATTATGCATTTGAGAGCTCCTGTTTCTGACAGTCTTTGCTTGCCTGCTCGGGGAAGCACAGAGCCCCGCCGAATTCTGCAACCATCCCTTCCCCCTCAGACCAACTCCCTCAAACACACAGTCTAAGTGAGAAAGGAGGCTTACTCTGAAAAGACGGCTTGGAGATGCTCCCCAAATAAACTCACAATCCAGGAAACACGGGGGGCGGGCAGGTTGGCTCTGCATCTTAGAACGTCCAGGGAAATGCCTGTGGCCAGTGAAGTCCCTACATTCTGGGGGCCAGCCCTTCTTCATTTAGGGCCTTGGGGTCCCCAGCCAACGGAGGGGAAGATGTAGTTTGGTTGGTTGTATCACAATCTTAATCATGTTTCTATTTAAACTTCAAATCACCAATGAGGGAAAGATTCCTGTCCCAATTTATCAGTAAAGAATTTGCAGAGCAGCCCCCCTCCTCTGTCTGCTGTCCCACCTGTGAGCTTCAGACCTTCCCAAGCTTTCAAAGTCAGTAACTAGCAGGACGGGAGTTTGAACCCCGGTCGCCCTGACGAGCTCTTTTTCTGCATCCAACCCCTTAAGCACATCGTCTTTCGCGGGCCCCAGAGCAGCCCCCCTCCTCTGTCTGCTGTCCCACCTGCTCTCCAAGAAGCTCTGTAGCCTCAGGTCCTGATGGAGAAGAGGACTCCACGGGTCTTCTGTCCTCAGCGCTCTGGGGAACTCCTAGTCCTGCAGGAGACTGTGAGCATCTGGGCTGCAGAAAGACAAATGGGAAAGTAAGAGTCTCCAGCTGGTTTTGCTAAGCAGGCGGATGCAGCTGGCCTCTTCTGGGCAGGAATTGCAAAACTGGCTGGATTCATGATAAGTTTCTAGGCACAGAGAAGCCAGTGCTCATAGCAACACTTTCAGGAAGACGGGGGATTTCTGAGAACTGGCTTTCCTTTTTACTTTCCCTTTCGATTCTTTCTCTGATAGGTATGCAGTGAAGAGGGACGGCTGAATCAGTCACAGGCTGAGTCTCTCCTCTCCCGTTCCTGGCTGTGAAATGGGTGGGTGGGCAGGCAAGGACTCTGAAGGCCAGCAGAGCACTTGGAGCTCTGTCACTGAGAGCTGCTTCTCCAGCTGCCTTGGCCTCAACTCCCCATCTGCGAGATGGGGATTAAAACAGCTCCTGGGGCACAGAGCTATTGTGAGGAGCCATGAGCAAGCCATGCGACGCTGCCGCTTCGTGTGGAATGAGCCCCAAGCAAACTCATCATGGACAGCTGTAATGATTGTAATGATTGTTGTCACATCACTGGGAGGTGGACATTAGAGCTCTAATACCTGTTATCTGAATTGGGAAATGCAAAGTGCTCTGAAAACGGAAAGGTTTTTCCGTTATTCCTTGGGTAGTAAAACTTGATCTGAACCAGCGCAAGTTTATAGTTTTTATGTATCCCATTACATTTGAATATTCATTGTTTCACCGCAGAAATATTGACAGTGGGATGTTATGTAATGTGTAATATCGGCACCTTTCCAAAAACCGAAAGAACTAGAAACTCCGAAACATCGAAACCCATCTGGCACCAGCAATTTGAGATACAAGATTGTGGTCCCGACTCTCCCATTCTGCAGATGAGAAAACGGAGGCCTCAAGAGGGTTTGTGGCCTCCCTATGGCCACATGGCTAAGAAAGGCAGAACCAGTTCTAGACACAGGGCCTGTGGGAATGAGCCTATACTGGGACCTGGGGCTGTGTAATTCTCATTTACAAGCCCAGAAGTCCTCACGCCCTCTCCCGAGCCCTCTATGAGGCCACAACGGGAGCTGTTGCCTTGTGGAAGATGTTGCCCGCCCAGCCAGTCTTGGCTTTGCAGGGGGTG